ACCTGGGTTTCAATCCCAGCTGTGTGGCTTGGATGCTGTGTGAACGTTGGTCGAGTTATTTCCCTCTCTGTGACTCATTTCCTTATCTGCTAGTTTGGCCTGATGTACAGGACCAGCTACATAATTTGCAGGGACTGGTGCAAAATGAAACTTGAGGGCTTCTGTTAAAAAATTATTAAGGATTTCAAAACAACTACAGTAGAGCATGAAACCAAGGGTGTAAGAGCCTGGGTCATACTCCCTGAGGCCAGCTCTGCTGACTCTGACCAAGAGTGGGTGCTGGTTTCTGTCTTGCTCAGTGCTCTGTCCACAGTCCCTAGAATGTTAGGTACAGACTGAATACATGTTTATTGAAAAGACTGGGCGCGGTGGCTCATGCCTGTAATCCCAGCACTTTGGGAGGCTGAGGCGGGTGGATCACCTGAGGTCAGGAGTTCAAGACCAGACTGGCCAACATGGTGAAACCCTGTCTTTAAAAAAAAAAAAAAAAAAAAAAAAAATTAAAAGAAAAGAAAACTGAGCTTGGTGGCTCACCCCTGTAATCCCAGCACTTTGGGAGGGCAGATGGGAGGATTGCTTGAGCCCAGAAGTTCGAGACCAGCCTGGGCAACACGGCAAAACTCTGACTCTAAAAAGGTGGTGTGCTGCTGTGGCCCCAGCTACTCGGAGGCTGAGGTGGGAGAATCACCTGAGCCTGTGAAGTTGAGGCTGTATCATGCCACTGCACTCCAGCCTGGGTGACAGAGTGAGACTCTGGTGCACAAAGAAGGGGAAGAAGAAAGAAGAAGGAGGAGGAGGAGAGGAGGAGAAGGGAGAGGAGGAGGAGGAGGAGGAGGGAAGAGGGCGGAGGAAGAAGAAAGAGGAAGAGGAGGAGGAAGAAGGAAGAGGAAGCAGGAAGGAGACCTTCCTTATCTTCAGGCTCCCACAGTGTACTAGGGAACATGCATGCATACATCATTGTGATACAGTGTAATATGGGTGCTAAGGATGGGTGCTGACAGAAAGTGTCATAGGAGACCCAAGGGATGCCATCCCTGAAGCTCTAGAGCATCCTGAAGCACATTCTGACTCCTCAATGATTTAGGGATTTCAGCCAGACATTGGTCACTGGTGGTACCTTACTGTATTCTATATTTGAATATCCACATACATCACATATAATCATTCTCTCTTTTTTGAGATGCTGTGTTGCCCAGGCTTGTTTTGAACTCCTAGTCTCAAGTGATCTTCCTGCACCAGCCTCCCAAGTAGCTGGGATTACAGGAGTGAGCCATGGTGCCTGGCAATAATCATTCTCAATTAATCAAGAGTATTTTATGATGAACCATTAAAATGCCCCAACCCTCACCATGCCAGAGAAGACAGTGTTTTCTAAATTCATCAATAAGAAAACAATTCCATTCCCAATAGCATCAAAACAAATAAAATACTTAGGAATAGGCCGGGCACGGTGGCTCAAGCCTGTAATCCCAGCACTTTGGGAGGCCGAGGCGGGTGGATCACGAGGTCAAGATATCGAGACCATCCTGGTCAACAAGGTGAAAACCTGTCTCTACTAAAAATACAAAAAATTAGCTGGGCATGGTGGTGCATGCCTGTAATCCCAGCTACTCAGGAGACTGAGGCAGGAGAATTGCCTGAACCCAGGAGGCAGGGGTTCAAGGGGGCCGAGACCCCCCCCTTCCACCCCCGCCTGGGTAAAAAAGGCAAAACCCCTTCTAAAAAAAAAAAAAAACAAAAAACTTAGGAATAAATTTAACAAATGGAGTGTAAGACCTACAAACTACAAAGCATTGCTGAAAGAAATTGAAGATCTAAATAAATGGAGAAACATTTCATATGCATGAATCAGAAGACCTAAAACTGTTAAGATGTCAACCCGTACTCTCTAAATTTACCTATAGATTCAACACAATTCCTATCAAAATCTCTCAGCTGGCTTATTTTTATTGCAGAAATTGTCAAGCTGGTTTTTTGTTTCGTTTTGTTTCTGTTTTTGAGATGGAGTGTTGCTCTGTCACCCAGGTTGGAGTGCAGTGGCACAGCCTCAGCTCACTGCAACCTCTGCCTCTTGGGTTCAAGCGATTCTCCTGCCTCAGCCTCCCAAGTAGCTGGAATTACAGGCATGTGCCACCATGCCCAGCTAATTGGTTTGTATTTTTGGTAGAGTTGCTCCAGCTGGTCTTGTTGCCCCAGCTGGTCTTGAACTCCTGGCCTCAAGTGTTCCGCCGGCCTTGGCCTCCCAAATTGCCGAGATGACAGGCGTGAGCCACCATGCCTAGCCTGGCAAGCTGATTTTAAGCTCATACAGAAATGAAAAGGACCCAGGAGAGCCAAAACAAAAATGTTGGAAAAGAGGAATAAAGTTGGGGGACTCACACTTCCTGATTTTAAAATATACCACAATGCTATGGGAATCAAGACAGTGTGGTACGAACGTA